TTTAAGTTTTTTGCCTATTTGAGGTCGCAGAGGTTAGGGAAACCTAATCCAGTTGTATTTTTCTCTCCCTATTTGTTCTCTCCCACTATTCTATATTGACTCAAATATAAAAATGTCATCCCTGTATTACTGACCTCAACTTCTAAGAGTGGGTCTTTTGCTCTCTCTAACATGAGTTAGCAGAGGGTGCTAGCTTGTAGAACCAGGCAAAGGTGTTTAGGTTCATGTACAGGAGAGCCAGTTTGGGAAAGGGCAATGTACCCCGGAGCCCAAAGGTAGTTGGGGAGACATTTTGAAAGGATAAGCTCATGAGGACGAGAGGAGGAGCGCACGCTTCACGGTCTCTTCTGGGGGGGCCACACCCGGGCAGGACCGGACCCCTCATCTGCGCATGCGCACTGTCAACTTTCTCCCTCTAGTGTGTGCAATAGTCGCTCGTCAGGAGCTAACGGTTTTTATCTATCCGGGTCCCTCGTGGTCAGTGTAGTGGCTGAATTGCTTGGCCAAGTCTCGCCAGTCCACGATGGGGCTGAGACAGTCACCCTATTCCTTACATTTTCTTTTCCTGAAGCTCTCTTACCTATTGGTAGTAAATAAGTAGAGGATTTTTGATTCTTCTCAAATGTGGAACACATCCTGCTGCCTACTAATTTTAGTATTCTTTCTATTCAGTTATTGTTGATAATAATAATGAAATATTGACACAAATAGGGATGATCTTATCCCATTCTCATCTAACTAGTAGAGAAAGGGACACTTAACACCTTTGATGATACTCAGTGAGCTCTATTTGTTGACAGTTCATTCATTCATTAAATTTCTCTGAAAAAATTATTGACCAGTAATTTTTTTCTATGTTGTTGAATTAGAGTTGGAAGCATCAGTGTGAATGTAAAAGTATATGTACATTTATATCAACACGTGTAGTCAAATATTTATGTTTATACACATATCTATATGTTCATCTCCTGGCTCTGTCTATTAAGGTGACCTAGAAGTGGACCTAGTTATACCACCTAGTTACAGATCTTGGTTTCTAAATACCATTTTCCACTAAAAGGCACTGAACTTCTTGAGCAAATGCTGATTCCAGAATTGGTACGAGGACAAAACAACCTGAGCCTGGAATATCTTGTTAGAACGTGCACAGGAATAATTTTAGTTTACAGTGATGGAAAATATTTTGATAGTATGAAGATGCAAAGTTAAAATTATGCTCCAGTTTATTTTATACAATAGCACATTGTAGGAACCACCTTGGAGGGTTCCCACGGGCCAAATCCAGGATGAGTTGATTATTAAAAAGAATAACGATCATAATAGATTATACCCCATTGAATAAAATAAGAACCCTGTAACTTTATGCCACTGTCAGTAAATCACTAATGGGAAAGAAAGAAAAATCTTTCTGAGAAAGAATGGTAAGGTAGAAAAGTCACCACTGGATGGAAAGCTATCCAGTGAGAGTTTGATGAAGGATAGGATATTTGCACTTTCTTAGAATGTTCCAACAAATTATCTATTAATGACAAAGAGGGAGATAGTAATTTTACAGGAGAGCAGCCTGCATTTGGTTTCTTCAAGCACAGTGCTTTTGATTGTTATATGAAACAGCAGCTTGTTCTTCTGTGTTGCTACTGTTTCTAATGTTCCATTATGAGGTTATGACCCAATTTTTGCATTTAGCAGTTAATGGACATTTCTGTTGTTGCCAGTTTTTAGCTTTCATGAATAAATATTTCTGCTTCATTTTACTAACAACCAAGAAATTATCACTATTGCTTTTATTCCAATTGGTAAAATATGGTAAGTTTGGCTACAAAGTCATCAGTGATTTGAGTCAGAACTGAAAGAAAACAAGTCAGGGAAGACTCAGTTATCCTTCATGAATTGGTCATCAGCTAAATCTCATTTTTCTGTGCTTTTTTCTCTTGTATTTTTTTTTTTAATGAAATTCTTTGCCTCCTCTATTTTGGCCACTTTGAATCCTCCCCCCCCCCTTTTTTTTTAAAGATTTATTTATTTTTGCATACAGAACTGGGATACAGGCCAGAGGTGCAGGGGTGGTGACAGGATTCACCAGAGACAGAGTGGGGAGCAGAACAGGCAGATGACGAAGTCCACTGCTGAGGGGAGCAGCGGGCAGGTCAGGAGAGGTCTGCCGCGCCATGTGGGTCAACTCCGGGGCTTCATGCTGAAGTGGCTTTAGCTTGTTAGTGCTGTGCTTTAACACACTGTGCCACCAGGGAGGGCCCTGAGTTCCCCCTTTTTTTTTTTTAAATTCCATGTTTATCTTTATTTGATTCAGTGTCTTACAGAATACATTTCCCTTAATAGAGTTATGAGAAATATTAAGTGAATTGATAGGTGTTCTGTAATCCCCTTTCAGATATCAGGTGGTTTTTAAATCAACTTTAATTCATTTTTGCAATGTTTCTAGAGAGTTATAAAATAGGTTTCCCTAAATCAAAATACTTGAGATCCCACCTCTGCCTATATAGCACTTAAGTATAACCTTTGAGCAGATTTTTAATTCTTTATAACCCTCATTATTTTCAACTACAGTCTGAAAACATTTGATTAAAGAAATATGTGATTCCCATTCAGCTCTAAAATGGTTAGGTGTTATAAAAAGCTACCAAATCAGAAAGAAGCTGAAAAGGGAGAACACAACTTTGGAGGGATGAGGGAGAGGTAGGAAAGCAAAACCATGCCTTTATGCAATGCAAAAAGGTGGAGTTTCTTCAGTAGAGTGAATCTTATGATAGGATTTAAGAAACAAAAGCAGTATGTAACTCAACATTTGTCGGTAGAGCATTGCTTTAGACTGTTTGATTTTTAAGGAGTCTGCAATAAGGCACTAGTTCTTTTTTGTAAATAAAAATCTATGGTGAGACTGGAAATCCCTTTCTATACAGACACCGTAATTCCCAGTTTGAAAAGTGCAGCACAATTATGACCGTTGTCTGAAAATAACTATTAATAATGCTTTTTCACTTTCAGATGGAGAAAAATTTATTTTACGGTCACTTAATTATTTGGAATCTTAGTATCCAGATTTCTCTGCCTACACCCCCTGTACAGTAGGGATATAAGTAGGGATTTTACTTGGGGATGGTTATGGTTGAAAGAATCCACAGTGCTCTTTTTAGGCTGACATTGTAGGCACTGTCATCTCTGCTGACAAAACCATTAGAGCCTCTTCCGGGCACTCATCTTTTTTAAACTTGAGTAGATTTCCCAGCTTCCTTTAAAGACTGCAGTCTTCTTTGTCCCTATGTATAAGGCTGTTTATCCATCCAGCGTTTGCCGTATTCTAGGTGCCAAGTACCGAGCAGTGCTCAGAGAACACAGAGACAAAGATGACGAGACAAGACAAACATATAGCTAGTGTGAATAGTGCTATTTTAGTAGTATGTGTACATAAACATGTAGTGAAGTCACTGAGGAAATAATAGCTAATTTAGAACAGAGAGAAAGAAGGGGGGTTTGAACAGAATGGAGTAGTATGTATTAAGCAAGGGATAGAGGTCGGTGGGGTATGGGAAATGTTCCAGGAAAACAGAAAGATATGTCCAATAATCCATGGCCAGAAAATACATGGTGTGATTGGGTGTGGGAGAGGTGGGACAAAATACGACCCGGTCTGATTATCCATTTGATGCACATACCAGGTTGGAACTGAGTGTGAAGCAAGATTTTGGAACAAATCCAAGGAGGTATTGTTATTAGAAATACCAGACGGGACCTTATTTCACATTTAGCGTGGACCCCTGATGATTCCTTGAGTGCAGTGTGGGTGTATTTTCATTCTGTAATTTTATACTACAACATTTCCGCATGCATTGACCAACTTCAATACAGACTTTCCTTATGTTGCTTTATAATTAGAAGCCAGTGAATTGAAGTTCCACAGCGGTACATAGGCTAGTGGTGATAGCTTTATGGAATTGTTTATTTTTAGTTTGGCAAAGGCAAGGCAGTAAATATCTCAATTAGTAAACTAAAGCAGCATGGATGAGAAATGCCCACGAGGAGACTACAAGTTAGAAATAACTAAGTCAGTTAATTGAAGGAAACCCTCACATCACCCATGTTTAGTGTACGAAGAACCAACCTAATGTGTGTGAGCACAGTGTCAGTCCTCACAGCGCTGCCTGCGAGGAGGGATTTTTTCAGGTTCTAATTGCTTAAGGAAAACAATTTGAAAAAGGTAAAAAAAAAAAAATAGCTTAACTATATTTATCTCCTTACAACCACTGTGATTGGCTATTGATGACAGTCCGTCCCATTGGGCAAAGACACAATCACTGAGGCATGGGGCGTTGTTGACTGTGGAAGCTTCTCATCCTGCAGATTCTTTTTTGTGACCCAAAAGGGATTTCTTTTTTTTTATGAAGAGCTGGGGAAGTTATTCATGTCTATCAATATTTATATTCATGTGATATGGCCTAATGTGTGAAAACAGGCCTGTGGTACCACAGAATCACTCACTTGACTCTAGATAGACTCTCCTACGTGGTATTTTAGATTCCATTTTAAGCTTAAAACAAAAAGAAGATGTGGTCTGCAAAACTTAGTTTGATGAATTTAAGACTTACTTAGGGTACTGAGTCACACTCTTCCTTTAACTCCAGGATCTTTAGGAAATGTTAACCATTCAGAAGACGAAAGATCAGTTTTTGTAGTCGCTCTAAACATTAAGTGTATTGTAGGAAAAAGTATTTGTGTTTTTAAACGGTAACATACCATGGTTGTGTTTTGTCATCGTTTTTGATTTTCAAAGTTGTGTACTTCAGTCTTTTTAGAATTATAGCATGTGTGTTAACATTACATGAAAGGCAACTCCTTGGGGCTCTCTCTTAAAGGGGAGCATGGAGGCTCTAGAAAGATTGTTGCCTCTTTAGACTTAATATCTGTCTGCTCTCTGTGATGTATAGGGGAAATGAGGTGGCTCATGCATCTATAGATTAAGTATCTGTCTCCTCTTTGCTTTGTAGACTGGAAAAAGATAGCATTCAGCAGAGCTTTAGCAACGAAGCAAAGGCCCAAGCCCTTCAGGCCCAGCAAACAGAGCAGGAGCTGATACAGAAGATACAGCAAATGGAGACCCAGCATGACAAAACTGGTAGGTGGTAGGGGAAGATTAGAGCCTGGGCCTGGCTCACCAGCCCGGCCCACGCCTTACTGTGAAATGGCATCAGGAACACCTGTAACCTTTGGCTGGCCGAAGGGAGCAGATGCTAACTACACCGGAGATTTCGAATTACATATTAGTTAGCGTTTAAAAGAGAAAATGGAAAGTATTGCCCACTGTCTGTTGATTTCAGAGTGCTGCTCTCACATCTGTTGCACCATCTGGATTATGAGTTTATTTACCTGTGTTCAAGAAACGTAAAGCTGAGAGAGACCACAACAAAGTAGAAAAACAAAGGGCTTGTTTTTGGCTGGGTTTGCAGGCACACATGTTATATAAAGAAAATAGCATCAGAAGCTCTGCGGGAAATGCTCTGAGCTTACAGTTAGCGTCTCCCGAATAGCATTGAACCGTTCCCACAGTACACACATTATAGCTACTCTAAAAGCCTAATGAGTTTGCTTCCGCATCCAAACTGGAGAAAAGCTTTAGCCATTAATCGGTTCTTAATTCACTGTCGCAGCTGGATGTAATTCAGTGGCTCCAAATTGATATGTTCCTTTATTTAATCTTTGCAGCTTCGAACATTTTTAGCATTTGTATGATCTCTCCCCACCCCACCCCAATCTAGAGTGATGTTTAATCCTTTGCATTCTTCAAGTTCTCACAACTGCTGTGAAAATTCACTAATACAAGACATTGACCACAGCTGGCAGCTTGGCTAAAAATTGCCGTCTTTCATCACGTTGGCACTACCCTGTAGACCGAGTTGGCCAGTAACTCTTTACCTTTCATTTAAAAGTAAAATGCACTTTGCAAATAGGCAGTTTGATTTGTTTCGTTGGACCATTATGTGGTTCCTTTCACTTGTGAGTTGTGTGTTCGCAGACAGTGACAGTCAAAACAAGACAGTGTCAGTCATTAGAATTCCACACCACACACTCCAAGCTGATTGTACTATTAAGACAAAAGTTTAATTGATCCTGTCTGTTCCAGAAAAATGGTGCTTAATTTTTAGTGCCTTCATTTATTTTGCTTTGCATGCTATATGCTTTTTGCCAGTCTTTGGCTAAAATTGAAAAGAAATACAGGAATTTATTAAACCTTACACGTAAAGACACAATGTGCACACAAATCAATGTGTCCTTTATATAATCCCACGCTTAAAAAAATTAACTTATCCTATAGGTGAAAGACAACTAATGTAAAATTCATTAAATGATCTGTTTACTTATAAAGGAGCAAATGTCATATTTATGCTCATGGTTCCCTCCAGCACTTTAAGGAGTGATTTTTTTCCTACCAGCATTTGTTCTGAAGAGATGAAAGTTCATCAGACTTAGTGGTTGTTTTTAAGAGAAGGAGGAAATGATAGGATTAATTATTGTTGGTCTCCACTTGTTATCAGGATCCCAGTGACTAAGAAGGGTGGTATTTTCTCTTAGTGCTAGATGACATTATTTACCCTGAGAGTCACCTCAACAACACTTTGTATTTTGTGCACAACTATCACACTGCGTTAAACTTCTTAGGCCAAATCTTTCTTTATACTCTTGACAATAAAGTAAACGTTCTAAAGAAAATTAACTATTTTATCTTCATAACTAAAGAAACAGATGCAGGATGGGGCTTGCAGGCTACGTGACCAATATGAAATGTCAAAAATGAATTAGAGAAGAGAGTTCCTCAATGATGTTACTTTTGCCTTATCTGGTTGTGATCACTTTTGACACCATCTAAAATAAAATTGTCAAAATAAAATGGAATAGCTTGTGTGTTGCAAAATTATAAGCATCTATGATGTCAGTTGAGGTATTTGACAATTTACCAACATGTTTAAACATTACACCAAACTGGGATGATCAAAAAACGTTTCTGGCATAAAATTATTAGGAAAATAAAGGTCCCACATGATTTATTATCTTTCCAGGTGAGTTGTCCTTTGTCTTAGGATGTAAAAAATGATCTAGTGGTTTACAAGAAATATTTAATGGTTTTAGTGCTTTTACCACTTCCATATGGAAGTCTTGCAGAACTTCAAGCATAAATATCTTATGTTGGTGGGGGGCTTATTGTTATTTCTAGAAAATGAACAGTATTCACTGCTGACCTCCCAGAACACACTTTTGAAAAAGTTCATGGAAGAGTGCAATACAATAGTCAAGAAACTGGAACAAACCTCTCAAAAAAGCAGGTAAGTAATATTATACTATAGTTTTGAGCCTGTGAATTCTGCAATTTCCCTTAGACATAGCATTCCCACCCATGAATAGTCTAGTCCTCAAAATTAGAAATATGTTGAAATATTTCCTGGGAAAATATTTTTCTTAACTGCCCATAAAGACAGGGTTTTGTTTTTTCATGATTATGTATACATACTATTACTTGACTTTTTTGATGTTCAGACTTGAAAACTATGCATTTTCAGACACAAAGGAAGAATGATAATTGTTCTAATAAAGAATGTAGAAAAGTCAAGCAGACTGTAGGCCAAATCACAATAAATGATGTGTATATATATATAAAATGAAAGCATATGATACTTTGAAGAAAACAAACCACAGCCATCCTTCCCTATTCTTGAAGTTGTTTTATTTTAATACAATAGCCATCATTCATTTCGTAGACACACTGCTCCTTATAAATCCACTGATTGGGGACTTAATGATTTTTTTTTCTGCATGTTCAATATGATTACCTTACTAAATCTGATTTTCCCTGCTTTATATATTCTAAGCTGTAAAAGAAAAAGACAAAACAAAACAAAACAAACCTAGTTTTCATCTCATTGTTGACAGCAATTGCAATCTCCTGCAAACTTATTTGACCTGCTTGAATTGTGAGTTCCATTTGTAAATAAATGATTTGGGACATTTAAAGTTAGTTATGAAAAGCAACATCCAGGCAACTGGCTATATGTCAACTATCACATTTCAATATAAGTTAGTGGAAGAATAACCTGTACGTGTCTCTGTATTTTTCTAAGATTCAGTTAGGTCTACACAAAGTCAACAGTATGTCTCATCAAGATGCCCCATCCAGAGAGCATTTACAGGGAGTCAGAGATCTGTCATCGCCCTGAGTCTCTTGGTTTCTGCATCTATACACTGGCTCAGAGGATGGGATCTTTGGGGAGAACAGAGAGCTTATGAATCCATTTTTTTCTACTCGTAGGAAGACAGAGGCGCTTACAATCACTCGGAATGTGCTCCAACATGTGTACCTTCTTAGCAGATACCAATTAAATATCTTGCTTGGACAGGAGAAAAGCTTCAGCATGCCAAAACATTAGACACTTTCAGGAAATTTTACAAGAAACCTAAATGATCTTGGTTTTCTTTACCTGAAATATTTTATTTGCTTCGCATAGCTTCTAAAGCAAGTATTTAGTTAGAAACGAGCAATCTAGATTATATCATTTCAGATAAATGTATGTTGCTCTGGGGTTTATGATCTTGTATTGTCTTCAGATTGCTTTGTGACTGACTATTAATCATCTTGCTCCTAAGGACATATAATTCAGAAAAAGTAAATGCCCATGAGAGAAAAGGCTGCTAGGTGCTTGGTAAATATTATTTAGCTTTCACAATAACTTGGCACAGGGGTGATTAGTTTATTTTATAGATGAGGAAACCAAAACTCAAAGTGTTAAGTGGTTAAGGGGAAAGCTAAGTTTGAGCTTAAGCCTGTGATCTGTCTAAGAAGTGTCACGCTCTACATGCACCGCTGAAAGCATCCAGGCCAAAGTAGTTACGACAGTAAAGTTTAGGCAAGAAAAATTAGTCTTTAAATTCACATGGATAACGGGGTGTAGTGGCCTGGGTTACCCTGTGCCTGTGACCCGGGCCCCATTTTTCCTGCTAGGTCTACCCTGTACTGGTCTAGCGAGCTTGAACCTCAGCTCTTCTTACTTCTGTTTCTGTGACTCCTGACAAATGCCCCTTGATGTCTAACACGATAAATATTTATAGAGTGACTGAGTGAAGCAAGTAAGTGAGGTGTCCCCCCCACACACACACCCCTGATTTGAATCTGGTTACAGCTGCTCCTTTGTTAAGGGCAGGTAATGTGCAGTAAAATACACTTTGGAATTTAGAAAGAACTAGACATCAATTTGAATTTCACTTTGCCATTTAGCTTGAGAGTCTTAAGTCCACTTCCTACTCTCAAACCTTAGCTTCCCCATCTCTTAAGAACATTTCTAAATGTCACAGGATTATTGTGAAAATTACACACACACACACACACACAGAATAACCTTGCGCAATGCTTGACCCAGAAGCACACAGCTGCCGTTGCCATTAATAGCATTGTTTTAAGGGTTTTGACTAGTAATTGGTTTATCACTTTCTCAAGCTATTACTGCTTAGCTGTTGAGGGTCTGAGTGCCATTTTTCTGACAGATAAAAAGCCTAAACCACAATTAAAACCTTTTAAAAGGCAAAGAAGGGTTAGTAAAATGTAGATCTGATTGTCTTGTTTTGTCTTACCCTAGTGCCTTGTTTTCTAAATCTGAAGAATTGAAATTGACATCTACTATAACTTTATAATTTGATCCAAACCTCAGGAGTGACAAATAGCAAATACTCAATTAATTGTTACTTAATTCTTAGAACCTTGAGAGCCCTCCAATTTACAAAATACCCATTTTGCGTTTTGTGTATCTCAGGAGAAAGTAGTAGGTAGGATAAACTGTGTGTGTGTGTGTGTGTGTGTGTGTTTAGAGTGTTTTGTTTATTTCTTTATTCTTCATTTCCTTCTGGCTCCCTACAGGAAGAAAATGAGATCCTCAATGATTCATTCATGTAAAATCTGACTTTGCATTTTGATATTACCTTTTGCACACCTATAAAACTTGAAGGGCTCAGAGTATTTCTTAGGTAAAAATGATAAACTTAGTAACTCCCATAAGCCCTCCCGAGGGGTACTGCTCCGCATCCCTTGAAACTTGTGACATGAGCCATCTCCCCTGCGCTTTGAAATGAGAAAAAACCGTGGCGTTTCTTGAACCTTCTAAAGCGCTGCCACTGTGGAAGCTCAGATTTCAGAATACCCACTTACACAATATGATAATATTGATCCAGGTTTTCCTCCAATCACTACAGTAAATTTTTTTCCCTCAACAGTGCGTATGTTTATTTTATCTTGATCAACAATTTAAAACACACTTTCTGCTCCCCTTTTCTTACTAGTGACATTTCTTTGAGTTGCGTGTTATTCAAAATAGCATAAACAAATGGATCCGTCCCATTTTAAAGAAGCTTTTTTACTCCCGGCTCTCGTCACTTGACTAGAATCCATGCAGAATCACCAGGAAAGCTGCAATCTGGACTCACCATCCCCACACGCCCTTACACTCGCTTCATGCTAGACTGCTCCGAAAGTGTTTAGAAATGGCTCCTCCGTGTGTCTGCGCTGCGTGTTTCTCCCCAGCTAGGAGTCAGAGGCAGTGTGGCAGTGCCCAGTGCGTCTGTCTCCACCGTGACTGCACAGTCCTGCCCGCACGCCTGTGTCCACACTGCTCCAGAGGCGCCGAGCCCCGGGGTGTGTGAATGGGGCGTCCCATTTTCAAATGAAAAATAAGCTGCTGATGGTGTGCATTTTACACGGCTTATTTTTGACGACCAGACAAGAGATTTAATGCCCTTTCGCTTCTCATTGGCACCGGGAGGACATTCTGGCTGCCGGGGGTTGAAGCCCACATAAACTTTAGCTACAGCTTCATCCTTAGCCCCAGAACCCTGAGGGCTTACTCCAGCCCCGGGTGGTTTGGGAGCTAGGTAAGTGGAGCTGTCTAAATAGCCTCGGTGCAGGTGTGGTTTTTCTTCATGGGAGGGAAGAAAGTCTTCCCTCTCCCCAGGTGCTCGGATGAGTCAGCAATAAAATGTTTGCAGTGTGATCTAAAATGTGCCCTGGGAAGTGCTCGGGAAGCCTGCGGCTGGCCGGGCACCCTCCTGGAGCTGCAGAGTGGAGATCTGGCCTGTGTTGGGGGTTCGGGGTTCGCCTGTCAACGCTTGCTGTGAAGGAGCAGGATGCAGAGCGCAGAGCCAGGGAGGAGCGTTGGCGGCTCTTCCTTCCTTTCCAGCGTCACTCTCTGAGTTGCTGGGCTTGCGGATGGACGTCTGACACTGCCCACTGTGTATCTGTGATTTGAGTTTTGTAATTAAGAAGAACAATGGGGGCCCGTTGGGTCTCCTTACATATAATGGTTGGTTTAATTTGTTTCACTTCTATCTTGTTAATTGTAAATTGATCATTAAGATTTGAATTCTAATCTGTCACCAGGGTTGTGGGTATTGAGGCTAGTGCAATGATCCTGGTTTTAATCACTGATGATGAGAAACAAATTTTATCATTTTGGTACATATTGCAGTTCATATATTTTAACACTGTATTTTATGGTGTTATAAATATTGTTAAATGACTTTTAGTGTAGTTTTACTGTGTGAACTATAATGTATAAATTATATTACTGTTTTGGCAACAGTAGGTATCCAACTGTGTGAATTTAATTGAAGTAAAGAACACCCGCCCGCTTGGGCGTTTTTTTTTTTTTTTTTTTTTCCCCTGTGCATGTTTAGATGTTTAGTATTAGGTTAGAATGCTGCAAAAATTATCTTGTACAAGAAGAAACTGATAGTGGCTTCTACTAATAGTTACCAAAAGTCAAATGAGAATCAAAAAGAATAATAAAAAAGAAAAGAAAGAAGGGGTCTTTTTTCCCTTAAAAAATAATGCTAATTATAGTAATAAAATATTATTTGTCATGCAAGAGCAGTTATACAACTGAAATATAAAAATGCAGGGAAAAGTTTGTGCCTCTGTACAGCCAGTAATTATCTAAATTTTCTAGGAAAGTATATTAGAGTCAGTTATCCTTCATAAACGCTAGGAGAATCATGCCATGAATGTAATCCTCAGACTAATGTAGGAACTGACAAGCTTACTTTTGAACTTTGCAAACTACTAGTCCTTGAAGCATTATCATGTTGTCCATGTCCATTTACCAAATGTAAATGAGCTACAAACAGACAAATTACCATTAAAAACAAAGAAAAAGAAACCAAAAATAATGCAGTGCAGAAAAAAATATATAGCATATATCTGATAGCAATATGTACTTTACAAATAGCATTCAAATTTTCTGTGATTGCCTAAGTTAAGGCCTCTTCACTCTAAGACATTTATATATAACCTCTGAGAAGAAACAGGGAAAGTGTGCTGTCCCTCATCGGGTTTACTATGGCTAACTTTTGATGCATTTCCTTCCAGGCATTAGCATTTGTATATAAATGTGTATGCGTACATATACTTGGGTTGCGAGTAAAATGATACCATAGTTAGTTTTGCATTCTGTTTTTTTCACTTAATACTATCTAATGGACATTTTTTTATATGTCCTTAAATATTCTGGAAACAACTTTATAATTGAATCACTTGCATGCACAATTCATTAGACATTTAAAATGTTTCCAGCTTTAACAGTTATGAATAACATGATAATAAGTTTGCACATAAATCTGAATTTCTGATGAATCCCTTAGGCAAATGCTTTAAACAATTTGGCTGGTCCAGAGACTCTGTACACCTTCAAGGCTACCAGTATTACTTGGCCCGAGTGCTAGAATCTGTTGAGTATATATGTGTATGCCTATCTGGTGTCACCAAAAAAATATGAAAGATTGCAAACTATAAAGGAGGGAGACGCAATATGGCACGTGGGCAGAGCAACCCCGTTAGCATCGGATGGGCCCGTGTTTGCCTCAGGGATTGGCTAATCACATGTGGGTGCCTGAAGGACATCATTAAACCTGTACATACCTCGCAGATGTAAGGGAAATGCACACTCTGTAGTTTGAGATGACAGGAAGCCACCCAAGAGATCGTGGGTTCCATTCCAGACTGTACAATAAAACGAAACTTACAATAAGGCGCGTGAGATTTTTGGTTGCGCAGTGCATTAAGTCATGTTGACCCTACAGTGGTCCATTAAGCGTGCTATAGCACTGTGTGTGTTTTAAACTGTGCACACCTTAACTTAGAAATGCTTTATTGCTACAACAGACTAATCATCATCAGAGCCTTCATTCGGTAGTAATGAATTTTTGCCACTAACCTTCAGGTTGTAAACAAACTTAGTGTCTGTGAAGACCAACAGTAACACACTATAAAATTAGGTATGTCTGTGTTAAAGTAAATAGGCGTGCAATCAATGTTGTATTTTGCCTTTCTTTGAATAATAATAAAATTTGAAGTTTTAGTAAATGTTTACTGAAGATTTAAGTTTCTTCTTACTGATTTTTTCATACTTGTATTTTTAATTGGAATTTTGATAGAGTAGGGATAACACTTTATTCAATGATGCTTCTAAGCTACACTTTTTAAATTTTTTTATTATAACCTAGTTCTTTTTGTTTTTTATGAATTTTTCAGTCAAAGTAATTTTATTTTTAAAAAAATGCGATCATTATAAAAGTGAAGAAACTATGGAAAAGGAAAATGTTTTCAATCCCAATTCCCAATTTCCAATACCTAGAGATATTAATATGTGCCATGTATGTCAGAATATTTTGTGATAATATGGGTTCATTTTATGTATACTGCTTTTTAGTGTTTCCTTTATTATGAAATATTTTAGGTGAGTAATGAAATTGATAGCATCTTGATATTGCTACTACGTACAATTAATGTATTCAGTCTTCTGTTGACAAATTTCTGGGTTGTTTCCAGATATTGGGTTGAAAAGTAAGGTTGCTTAAAGAAACAATACAACAATGAACATTCTCATGAAAACGTGATTTTTCTTGTACATTTTTATGTTGTAACATTTATATACTTTTTATGATTTTTTTTAAGTGACCTTGGGGGGAGGTGTACCTGAGACAGATAAACATTGTTCTGCATTTTAAAAATCTGGTTTAGGGTAATTTTTGTCCTTTTGGAATTAATTTTAGTGCATAGTACATATTGTGATAGAAAATACTAATATTGGAATAATGCCAAACTAAGGTTTTTACACTACCCCTAAATTCTTCTATGTTGCATGTGATTTTGAAAGGAGAAACCTAAGTTAATTATTAACTGATTTAGAATTTCAAATACAAAGTCTTGGTCAGGCAAATGCAGACTTGATCTGAACTTGAAAATAATTCATGCCCTCATGTATAATCTGGTAAGAAAGATGAAGCACAGAGCACAATTCAGAGGAATGAATTATCAGATAATATATGCATGAAACTAGAGAGAGTTCTTAAAAATGTGCTGACATATTGAGAACTGCAAGGTTAATTAATCAGAGCAAATTTCCTTTGAGATGACATTTGAGCCACAATGAAAACAAAATGAGAAGTGAGGTAGACTGAAAGTGAAAGTTGCTTCATACATGTGAGACAGGTGGGTAGTTGGGATGGATTCCCTTAGCAAATCCAAATTTTTTTCTTGGCCCAAAAGAGAGGACTAGCTCACCTAATGGACGAATCATTTATTTGGAGGGAAATGATTTTACATAGTCTTAAATTTCAAGAAATAAGTCAATCGTCAACTACTAGAATTTCCTGTGCCAGAGGTATAAACTTTCAATTGTCACCTATGATGCAGTGAAGCTTCAGGAGATGGTGACAGTGGCAGCTCTGGTTAGTTAAAACAAGGGTAGAGAAACATTTTTTCTTAAATAGACAACTTTCTGATCTCCAAATCTGGAGACTCAGCTTAGTCACCCAGGTCTGCCGCACCCTGTGGGTCATCTTCAGGGCAGGGATCGAACTCATGCTGAGGTGGCTTTAGCGTCTCAGTGCTGCGCTTTAGCCCGCTGCGCCACCAGGGAGGGCCCTGTTTTTGGTTTGGTTTGTCTGACTCCATTTTGTTTCTTTGTGTTCTACATGTGAACAAAGTCATTCAGTATTTGTCTCTTTCAGGGAGATGAATTTTTTTTTCTTCTTTTTAAAGATTTATTCATTTATTCATACAGAACTGGGGTACAGGCCAGAGATGTGGAGGGTGAGAGGATTCAGTAGAGACAGAGTGGGGAGCAGAACAGGCAGATAGACAAAGTCCACTGCTGAGGGGAGCAGCGGGCGGGTCAGGAGAGGTCTGCCGCGCCCTGTGGTCACCTCCGGGGCAGGCGGGGATCGAACTCATGCGGAAGCGGCTTTAGCTTCTCAGTGCTGTGCTTTAACCCGCTGCGCCACCAGGGAGGGCCTCAGGAAGGTGAATCTTAAGTGACCACAGTGGAGGATACTTATGCATGAAACAAACTGAGCTAAGGTTCCAGAAGAAAAAAATTGGAAGACAGGGAGAACAGTGTGCTGAAAGCAAAATTGACTGTTTCATCCCCACCTCATGCAGACCTCCACCCAGAAATCTAGGGGTTTTTTCTGTGAAGAAATTAAATCAGCAGGCGCTGATTAATCCAATAACTAGATTAGATTAGAGAGACTAATAGAAAGTCTGCATTCTGAGAGGTGCGATTTCCACTCCTGTATTTCCAACCAACTCACTAACGGATAGGGCGGCACACAAATAAACAGGAAACTGGGGCTCCTTCTGTTCTGAGGGCCTCAAAAGAACCAAAAGATCCTTCTCTTTAGAAATAGAATAGTCACAAAGGACAGAATTACAGCTACTGATACTGACTCAGTCACTACAGCCCGCTCACTTGGGCTGTTGCACACAGTGAAAGTAAATGGACACAGTGAAAATGTAATCATAATACATGACTGAGACAGCAAGGAACAGCATTTAGCTAGTCTTCATGATGTAAATACTGCTAATGATTTAACCACAAGTTGATATACTAGTAGCTATTACTTTGACAAGCCGAAGATGAGGGGAAGGGGGCATATAAGAGAATTTAATTTTCAGCTACCATAATGAATCACTAGAAATTTTTTTTCTGGGTAAAGCAAGAGATATTGATGTGTACATATATTTAGAAACATAGAAGTAAATACCAAAAGAAATAACTCTAAAAAATTAAAAGTTATTTGTCACTGCTTAGCAGGATTGGGAATGACAGTAGAGGATTGCCATTTTTCATTATTCCTTTTGGAACCACATTATTTTAATCATGTGCCTTTAAATTAGCTATGCTCATTAAAACAAGCAACTCCCGGGCCCTCCCTGGAGGCGCATCGGATTAAAATGCAACAGTTCTGTGAAGCTGTCTGCAGCCACTGCAGCACCAGTTCAATCCCCGGCCAGGGAGTGACCCACAGGGCACAGCAGACCTCTCCTGTCTCACCTGCTGCTCTCCTCAGCAGTGTATTGCAGTCACTCTGCCTGTTCTGCTCCGCACTCTCTCTCTGGTAAAGCTTCTTACCCCCCAATCCCCATATCTCTGGCCTGTATGCATAAATCATTAAAAATAATAATAAAGTAAAATGAATAACTCTTTGTTATAGAGATTAGACGTGGGTTGCTCCTTTAACATCGTGATAACTTGCCTACAGTAAATATTTGGTTAATGGATAATAGTCTTTTTATAAAAGGAATTTGACCATTGTCATTTTTGTCTCCTTCCTTGGAGAAACCACTTCTATTACGGTAAGTTGTTATTTCTTTGTGTGCCACTTGAGACCCTATTACATATAGCAAAATTTCTACTATACATATACTGTACATTTTGCAACTTCTGAAATATTTTACAGAAATTAATTTTTATTTATGTGGTCATGTTGTCATGTTTCAGCACCAATGCTATATAACCATTTATCATGTTTGTGTTTCCAACTGCCTAGGTCTAAAATAGCTCAGCTCAGTCAAGAAAAAAGATACACATCTAGCAAAATAGAAAAGTTACAGAGAAGAAATAATGAATTGGAAGAACAGTGTGTCCAGCATGGTAAACTGCATGACCTAATGAAGCAAAGGTAATAGATTTAATAATCAACTAACTAGCCTATGCTGAATGCGTCTGTGCAACAGAGTGGAAATTGCTGTGGAGTACATAGAATTCACGACTACTCTGGTACTCGAGGGACATGCTCAATATCTAGCACTTTTATATATTTGTGTTCTCTTAATTTAGATTGGTCTGATAGTGCACAAAGAAGAAAGCTTATTCTCCCTCCTATTCCCTAAAGACAATCAGATTTACTACAAAGCATTGTAGGAAAACCGTCCACCTTTAAAATATAAGTAGTAACGTAAGACGGAAGAATTCAAAACTTCCCTTTTATAAATTCAATTTTGTAAGACAAAATAAGTAACAAGCCCACGGAGGCTAAATATCTTAGCCACAGTTTATACTAACAGCTTTCTAAGTCAGCACTTGACTCCAAACCCTCCGCTTTTCTAGTAGTGTTGCTTTGAGTGAGTTTTGTGATTTCCTTGAGCATTGTTTTCTTTTTCATCCTTGTACTGGTTAAGGCTAAGGGCCACTTTGCAGTTTGATATCAAAATCAAATGTGTGTAGAGCATCTGATTCAGAGTCGCCATGTGTGGCATCAAAGACACTAGATGAAGAAACTCTAGCTCAGAGAGATTAATGAATTTGCTGAAAGTGACAGATTAAGCAAATGGTAAAGTTCAAACCTAAATCTTGTTATTTTGACTCCAAACTCCTTTCCTGTTTTGTATATTCCTTGTGTGTGTGTGTGTGTGATAAGCCTAGCCCATATTCCCATATTGTTTCCCATAAATGATCACTTCTACTTTTATTATTAGAAATTATGATATATAGAATTCATGACTACTCTGGTACTCCAGGGGCAATATTGTAGGCCCCCTGGGGAAAACATAGCTCAGTGTTTTATAACCTACGATGAGTTGGGTTTTGTAGATTTGGTCTCCAGAGAGCAGCAAATCAAACACAACTTCCGGTGGAGATGGTTTCTTGGCCTCCAGCTTCCCACCCATCCTAGTCCCCAATCACGCAATTCTCCTCATTTCCAAAAAGTACTTCTTTTAATGTATAAACTCACTTTGTTTTAATTTATAGCAATATAAGTTATATGGAGAGAAGGGAGGTATTTGTGCAACTCTTATCAGTTTTAATTTTTTTTTTAAGAATTATTTTTTTATTTTTTACCTAGACAAATTGGGATGTAGGCCCGAGGGACAGCACATGAAAGGATTCACCAGAGGCAGAGCAGGGAGCAGAACCGTTAGATTGGCTGACATAGACTGGCGAGGAGCAGTGGGCATCACAGGCGTCATCTGTGGGTTACCTCCCAGACCTGGGATCGAACTTGGGCTACTGAGACTTAACCCCTAGGCCATTGGGAGGCTTGATCAGTTACTTTATAGATAGAAAAAAGACAGTTTGGAAATGGCACTGATTTTTCAGTCTCCAGAATATGAAAACAGGGTAATAATAATTCATTTATTCACTCAGTAAAATATTTATTACATCCAGACACTGTCCTAGGTCAAAGGTCAGAAAACTTTTCCTTTGAAGGTCTAGAGAATAAATATTTTAGGTCTTGTGGGTCACAAGTGATCTCTGTGGTAGTCTTCTTTGTTCTGTTTTTTACAGCCTTTTTTCAAAAAAGCTAAAGCCACACTTAGCTGGAGGCCAGCAAACCATCCAGACAGATTTCACCCTTGGGCTTTATTTGCTCTTCTAGTGAATCTCCAGTTTATCCTTTTAATTCATACTTATTTTCTTGCATTTGTATATTGCTTAACGCCCACAATGTCCTAACAAATTTTATCTTGAAACAAACCAAGGAAGTCGCTGTTAATATCATCTCTATTTCCAGATGGAGAACTAAGGCTCAGAAAGATAAAGTTGCCAACTGAAGGTCAGATAGCAAATTAGTCATTCGATCAACAAAGATTTGATTGCTACTACATATCATGGTCTCTACCACATGCTGGGAATAAAAGAGCAAAGTAATAGTTCTAGTCTAATGGAGTTTACAGACTTAAAAGGATGATGGCTATTGACAAAAAGACTTTCACAAATACCTGATTAATTATCGTATCTAACAGTTCTATGAAAGCAAAATATACTCTGTGATGAGGGGAGTTATCCTGCTCAGCGAAGATTTGAGTGATAAATGGCATTTGAAAAGAGTATTAGGATTATTAGGACATTTAAGCAGAGGTTGGCAAACTGTGTCTCGGCTCACCGCCCATCTTTGCCTGGTTAGGAACATAGTTATGCTCCTGTGTTTACATATTGACTATACCTCTTTCGTGCTACACGTGGGAGTTGAGTAGTCGAGTTGCAGACTCACCATTAGGCCCACAAAGTCTAACATATTTATGCCTTATTCCTCTCGTCTTGTAAATTGGTGACTCCTGTTCTACAGAAAGAAAAACTATAAAATTCATTCAACAAATATTTATTGATTGCCACTATGGGTCCCATTCTCTACCCCGTGTCTCAAAGTAGAAATCTCAAAGATGGAGGGAAAAAATTGCATAAAGTGGAAGAGAGATGGTATGCAACGAGGTTGGAAACATAGATGATGACCAGAACTAAGGTTTTCTTATGGGCATTTGATTTTATTGTGATACAAAAGGGAGAAAGTTGACAGACATTTTTAAAACAGAATGATGTGGTTGAATTTGCATTTAAAAACAGCATTCCATATTGAGAAACCAAACAATGACAATGACAACCTTTATTATTTTTTTTACTTATACATACATATTTTTTACATCACTGCTTATTTTGTGCAATGTTTGATTCCTCCGCTCAGGTGTAATCCTCGTAAAATTCCCACCACCAGGCCACCCCTGCACCATCACCATATCACTTGGGGCCTCCCACTCCCTCCACCCCTGCTGTGTGTCTCAGATGTGTCTGCTAGTTGAGTCATCTTCCTCCCACCTTGTTCGGCTCCCTTATATTCAAATCTCCTATAAGTGAAACAATCTGGTATTTTCCTTTTCCTTCTGACCTATTTCACTGATCATGATCCCTTCTACTCCATCCATGTTGCTGCAAATGGCATGAATTTATTTATCTTTTTGATTGTTGAGTAGTATTCCATTGTGTATGAATACTGTATCTTTTTTATCCAGTCACCTGTTTGGGGGCAGTTAGGTTGTTTCCATATCTTAGCCACTGTAAACAGTGCTGCAGTAATCATAGAGGTGCAGGTCTCCTTTCAAATGACTGTTTTTGTGTCCTTTGGGTAGATCCCCAAGAGTGGAATTGCTGGGTCATATGGAAGCTCCATTTTTAGTAGTTTGAGGTTCCTCCATACAGCTTTCCATAATGTTTGTGTTATAGGTCAGGGGACGAGGCACCCCAGAACCCTCAAGCTTGCCCACTGCAAGTAGGTTCTGCCGTCCGCTGCATCAAGACAAGACATACTCTAGTGTGTAAGACCTTCAGTGGAAAGGAACTTTAATACCACTAGTGTGCAAGACCCAAACAGGAAAGAATGAAGTTTCTAAATCAAGCACCAGAAGTTCCCCATCCCCTCATGGGTTAATGCCCAACCAAATAGGATTGGCCCAGACAGAGCAGACCCACTGAGGCCCATGAGCTCAGTGGGATCAGTCCCAAAGGCTGAGCCCCGAGTCACAGGAATGGTCAGGTTCTACACAGGTTGTCTGAGGAACCTTGTCTCCGCATGCATCACAGCATACGCATTCTGTATTGTTTGGGAAGCGGTCAGGGTAGCCATGGCTACTAGTGTGGACAAGCAGTAGCCTGCAGGGACTTTCTGCTCCAGCGAGCAGCAGAATCCAAGCAACAGACTCCCCCAAGCAGCAGGCCTGGGAAAGGAGCAGAATCTGAGCAGCAGAGCTGGGGCACTGCCTGCTTCACTAGCAGATTCAGGGTGCAGAGTTCCTTGCCCCTGAGGACATTTCTTTGTGTTGGTCATTCCTCATTTAGAAGAATTATCAGGCCCAAAGCCTGCTGGGTAGTCATCACCAGAAGTCTGACTCCAAATCATATGTTCTTTCTGCATTTCTTATGAACAGCTTTAAAACCTATTAAGTGACTATTTTAAAAGTACTAAAATTTGGTTTTTATGGCCAGAGCAATTTGTCAACAGTATTAATAAAACATTGCATCGGTTGCTTCCATATCTCTCAAGCTGTGATAGTTTAACGACTTCCGATGATTTAGGGGAAGTCCATTCAGTTATTATTACCTTATCAGTGTTATCCTGAAGGCACCTCGGCTTTTAAATGTTGCTGCTATTTTAACTATAAATTGCTCTTAATTTAGCTTTATGAAAATTAATCCCATTTGTTGTGAGTTGTCTTATTAACCCCTTACAGTAATATTGCATATTTTCATCAGCACTGTATTGGCTTCTCAGTAACTATATTCCAATTCTTTTACGAATTGTAATTCAGATGTGAATTATTGGCATCTCCTTGGCTAATGCAAATGGGTAAATATTCCCTCCTCCCTGTCACGCACCCCCTCCCCCATCCGTTTGCTTTAGAGAGGCATTCCTTTAGTGACCTTGCTACTTAGAAATCATCTGGTTTTAATTAACTGGTATCATATGTGATTAAAGAGAACTAACAAAATGGCTATACTATTTTAGATTTATATGCCAGTTTTTCGTGATATCAAAGTGATACATAATCTGCATTTCTAAATAAAAGAAACGACAACTTTCAAAATATCTCTGTTGAAATTGCTCTTTGTTAGAAATTGTTTTCATTTCACTAAACCACAGAAATGCAGGATCCCGTCGGGTGCCTTCCCTGAGTCTACCTGAGAGTATTACATGAATGAAAGGAGGAGGCCATAAGAACAGGAAGAACTTATATAATGTGACCCCAAATGTATAAGCAAAATAGACAATTTTTAGAAAGATTTATTTATTTATGCATACAGAACTGGGGTACAGGCCAGAGGCTCAGGGGTGCTGAGAGGCCTCACCAGAGACAGAGTCAGGAACAGAACACACTTATCTACGAAGCACACTGCTGAGGGGAGCAGCAG